AAGAAGTAAAGCTGTCACTGTTTGCAGATGATATGATACTATACATAGAGAATCCTAAAGATGCTGCCAGAAAACTACTAGAGCTAATCAATGAATCTGGTAAAATAGCAGGACACAAAATTAATTCACAGAAATCTCTTGCATGCCTATACACTAATGATGAAAAATCTGAAAGAGAAATTAAGGAAACACTCCCATTTACCAATGCAACAAAAAGAATAAAATACCTAGGAATAAATCTATCTAAGGAGACAAAAGACCTATATGCAGAGAACTATAAGACACTGATGAAAGAAATTAAAGATGATATAAACAGATGGAGAGATATACCATGTTCTTGGATTGGAAGAATCAACATTGTGAAAATGACTATACTATCCAAAGCAATCTACAGATTCAATGCAATCCCTATCAAACTACCAATGGCATTTTTCACAGAACTAGAACAAAAAATTTCACAATTTTTATGGAAACACAAAAGACCCCAAATAGCCAAAGCAACCTTGAGAAAGAAAAATGGAGCTGGAGGAATCAGGCTCCCTGACTTCAGACTATACTACAAACCTACAGTAATCAAGACAGTATGGTACTGGCACAGAAACAGAAATATAGATCAATGGAACAGGACAGAAAGCCCAGAGATAAACCCATGCACATATGGTCACCTTATTTTTGATAAAGGAGGCAAGAATATACAATGGAGAAAAGATAGCCTTTCAATAAGTGGTGCTGGGAAAACTGGACAGCTACATGTAAAAGAATGAAATTAGAACACTCCCTAACACCATACACAAAAATAAACTCAAAATGGATTAAAGACCTAAATGTAAGACCAGACAGTATAAGACTCTTAGAGGAAAACATAGGTAGAACACTCTATGACATAAATCACAGCAAGATCCTTTTTGATCCACCTCCTAGAGTAATGGAAATAAAAACAAAAATAAACAAATGGGACCTAATGAAACTTAAAAGCTTTTGCACAGCAAAGGAAACCGTAAACAAGACGAAAAGACAATCCTCAGAATGGGAGAAAATATTTGCCAACAAAGGAACTGACAAAGGATTAATCTCCCCAATATACAAGCAGCTCATACAGCTCAATATCAAAGAAACAAATAACCCAATCCAAAAATGGGCAGAAGACCTAAATAGACGTTTCTCCAAAGGAGATATACAGATTGCCAACAAACACATGAAAGGATGCTCAACATCACTAATCATTAGAGAAATGTAAATCAAAACTACAATGAGGTATCACCTCACACCAGTCTGAATGGCCATCATCAAAAAAATCTACAAACAATAAATGCTGGAGAGGGTGTGGAGAAAAGGGAACTCTCTTGCACTGTTGGTGGGAATGTAAATTGATACAGCCACTATGGAGAACAGTATGGAGGTTCCTTCAAAAACTAAAATCAGAACTACCATATGACCCAGAAATCCCACTACTGGGCATATACCCTGAGAAAACCATAATTCAAAAAGAGACATGTACCACAATGTTCATTGCAACTCTATTTACAACAGTCAGGACATGGAAGCAACCTAAATGTCCATTGACAGATGAATGGATAAAGAAGATATGGCACATATATACATTGGAATATTACTCAGCCATAAAGAAACAAAATTGAGTTATTTGTAGTGAGGTGGATGGACTTAGAGACTGTCATGCAGAGAGGAGTAAGTCCGAAAGAGAAAAACAAATACCGTATGGTAACACATAGATATGGAATCTAAAAAAAATGGTTCTGAAGAACTTACAGGCAAGACAGGAATAAAGATGCAGACATAGAGAATGGACTTGAGGACACAGGGAGGGGGAAGGGTAGGCTGGGATGAAGTAAGAGAGTGGCATGGACATATATACACTACCAAATGTAAAACAGATAGCTAGTGGGAAGCAGCCACATAGCACGGGGAGATCACCTCAGTGCTCTGTGACCACCTAGAGGGGTAGGATAGGGAGGGTGGGAGGGAGACGCAAGAGGGAGGGGATATGGGGATATATGTATACATATAGCTGATTCACTTTGTTATAAAGCAGAAACTAACACACCATTGTAAAGCAATTATACTCCAACAAAGATGTTAAAAATAAATAAATAATTAAAAAAAATACTGAGTTAATGTATCAGCAAACAAAAGCAGTCGTCACCTACTGAGCTCCTTCTATGTGCCTGCCATTTTAGTGTGAGTTTTACATAAATCTTAATTAATTCACAATGACCCTATGATGTAGGTGATAACACTACCAAATTTTACAAATTAGGAAATTAAGGCTTTCAGGTATTAAGCTGCTGAAGCTAACAATACTAGTAAATGGTAGAGCTGGATAAATAAATGGTATATCCATACAATGGGACCCTGCTCAGCAATAAAAAGGAATGAACATGCAACAACTTGGGTGAACCTCAAAATAGTTATGCTGAATGCAAGAAGCCAGACCAAAAGGAATACAGATTATATGATTCCATTTATAAAATACTCTAGAAAATGCACATTCATCTAGAGAGAGAGAAAGCAGACAAGTGTTACCTGGGGAATAGCAAGTGGAAAGGGGCAGGATGGATGGATTGCAAAGGGATGTGACAAGATTTTTAGGGGTGATGGATATGTTCACTATCTTGATTGTGATGATGATTTCAGGTTTCAAAACTTAGCAAACTATAACCTTTAAATATGTACAATCTGCTGTACATCAATCATACCTCAAGCTGTCTAAAATCAAGTGAGAGAGAAAGAGAGAAGTACAGGGCCTACATACAAAGCAGTACCTCCCCAACTCTATATTTAATTTAATCTTACGTTCTTAAAGTATTTTTCCCTTTTTCTTTCTGTAGCTGAACAATTTATTATAGAATAAAACAGAATCAGTTTTAAATATAGCTACCAAGTGATTTGTAGTGCTCTTACTCTGACCCCTAAAACCGAGGAAGAAATAACATAAGCCTATAATGATCACCAACAGTGAATCAGTGTTATTGCAAAGTACTATTAACATTATTGCCATCAAATGATTAGGACAAGCAGTGGGGGGGGAAATGTTGAATGAATCCCTGTACAGCAAACATTTCTTGAACACCTGTATGTGCCAGACACTTTCAGGTACACGTGTTGGGAAAAAAATGCATAAGACACAGTTTAAGTTAGTACAGAGGTGACACTAATAATTTGAGTATTGCTGATCTAAGGAATGATATTGCTCCTCTGTAACCAAAGTTAAGTGGAGAGGAAGTCTTAAGAGAGAAAATGAAGAGGTGTGTCTATAAGCTATCGAGGTAGCAAACTAGTGACAAAATGATGGATTGAACAGTTAAGAGAACATCCAAGTGCAAAAATACAAAACCATAATGTCCTTCAGCATAATGAGTACAAAGAGTACCAAGGTTTTACCACTTGAAACCTCCCCTAAGAGAGTCATCAGGGTCAGCCCAGTCTTGTAAACAGCTTATCTCTCAAAAAAACAATTTATAGCCAACTGTCGATAAACCATAGTTAAAGTAAATATTGATCTTGAATTTGTTTTTTTAAAAAGTAACTTGCTATGAATCAGGGAATTATTTAAATAGTAGAAGGCATTTATTGCTTGGATTAATAGTAAATAACGGATTCCCTGGTGGTGCAGTGGTTGAGAGTCTGCCTGCCAATGCAGGGGACATGGGTTCGAGCCCTGGTCTGGGAAGATACCATGTGTTGCGGAGCAACTGAGCCTGCGAGCCACAATTACTGAGCCTGCGCGTCTAGAGCCTGTGCTCTGCAACAAGCGAGGCCGCGATAGTGAGAGGCCCGCGCACTGCAATGAAGAGTGGCCCCCGCTTGCCACAGCTAGAGAAAGCCCTCGCACAGAAACGAAGACCCGACACAGCCATAAATAAATACTAAAAAAATTAAAATTGCAACCTCCCTTTAAAAAAAAATAGTAACTAACAGACACTAAATTGTCTACAGCAACATGGGAGGCCTCCCCACACTACCCCCTCAGTCAGATGAGCAAGCCTACAGGGGCAGTGCCCGCTCACTCTGCCAGCACCTCTCAGAATGGGAGGCATGGCTGGAAGAAAGGGGAAGCAAGGGAGTCCTAAAGTGGCAGTGCAGTCAACCCTACAGCATTAGGTGTGAGGAACTGGGTAGTGAGGGAGCCCACAGAGGGGGATGCACCTCACTGAGATAATGAAAAAACAGAAAACGTCAGCTAAGAAATAGAGCATGATAATCATTTGACAGTTTTCTGTCATGTGATGCCTATATACGTTTATACATACATGACATACACGCATCATTTTTATCCCTTTGGGAGGCAGTAACTCAATGTGTAAGAGGAGAGCTCTAAAGTCAGAATGTTTAGGTTTGAATTCTTGCTCAGAGCTTAGTTTTATGAGCTCTGCAACCTTGGCCGAATTACATCACCTCTTTGAGACAGTTCTTCTCATCCATAAAACAGTGATAAAAAATAATAAAATAGTATCCACCTCAATGATTTTTCTGAGGATTAGATGAGATAACACATGTATTGATACCAAGTGTATCAAGGTAAGTATTCAATAAATGTTCACCATTATTGTTTTAATGTCTGAAAATGACCACTGTATTCCTAAACACGATGCAATTTACTGTGTAAGTCCATATTAAATCCTTTTTGTACCATGTTTTGAGTATTTATTGTTGTTTGGTTTTTTGTTTTTATTACTGCATCTCTGATTTGGGGTTATCCATAACTACCTTCTGCCCCATTTTATTCCTGATTAATCAGGAGGAAATGGTAAGCTCAGTTAAGTATCCTGGATCAAAACCGGTTGTAAGCTGGGATCCACCTAGTGATCAAAATATACCTTCGTTTTGAAAGTCTCTTGCCTAGCACTTTTGCATGACTGTCCTTTAGGGGATAAATGTCAAAAAAAAAAAATTTTAAGTTTGAAAAAACTTGAGACCCTGATAACTGATCTGCTATCCTGAGAACACTAAACCAGCAAACAAATAAAACTCATGGTACCTACCTCCTTCTGTGCACCTTTAATTTCTGAACATTCTTCTAGTCTTTTTAAAACATCCTGGGTAATCAAGAGTGCATCTGAGAAGATTTTTTCATTTTCTAGAAGAAAGTTCAGCTGGTAATGTTTCCCCTCACACTCTGAATGTAAAACAAAACAAAATTTAAAAAATCAGTGATTGATGACTTGAAATAATTTTTAAAAGTTTAAGCTGTCTGAGAACCTTTAGGTCATGTGCTGCATTTGTAAACAAAACAGCTAATGTATCAGTTATGAGTAATAGCAAACAGCATCTCTAATAGCTTCCTCCTTTGTGCCATCATTATCCTAGTTAAAATAATGGGTAAGAATCAAAGATGGTACATGGTTATTTCAATACTGCTTTTCTGCTCTGTGGTTCATCTTCAGGCTTGCAACACTCAAAACCACAGACACTTTTAAAAGAAGAATGTCCTAGTACAAGTATTGCATTGGATTTTGGTTTCCAATCTAACAGTGATCTTTGATAAATTTATCAATGAAACAAACAAACAAAAAACTCATAAAGATCACTGAATCTAGTAATTGACAACAGAAGGATAGATTACAAAAGAACTATTAAATGAATATTACCTGGTTCTGGGCTTGCTTCCTTTGCCTCACTAAAGGTTTGTACAACAGGAGAAGGGGAAAAATCTTCAGCTGTCAGAGGAGTCTCCACTGGGGTGTCTGCATTCCCCTGAATCCCCTGGGCAGCGGAAGGATCCACACTCATCTCTTGCACAACCGTCTGGATCACTTCCCCCATTTCGGCTTTCACAGGGCCCCCTGGAGGGCTGGAAACCTCCGGGGAAGAATGAAGCTCTCCAGCACCCTCGGAGGGAAGGATTTCTACTTCAGGCTTCTCCAACTCCTTCCTGGATGACTCTGAGGATGGTGTGGAGACATCCCTCACCACCTGACCCTGAACAGAGCAGTTTACAAGACTAGTTAGAAGATTTTTACAACTAACAGCCACATCAAACATCTGTAGGCTGTCGGCTAAGGAGATGATTTTGGAGAAGTTGTGTTTGCCCACAGGTAGTTTGCCAGTGTACATCATTTCTAACAAGAGGGCAAACTCCTCAGGGCTCACGACAGATGCATCAATGGAGATGGTGTCTGTGTTATCCAGCAGGGTTTTGAACAGGAGGCTGGCAGCAGCCAGGACAAGTTTGTGGGCCCTGAAGTAAATGGTACCAATGGAAATGGTGCAGTCACAGAACTGCTGCTCCTTGCACAGCGTGTAGAGCTGCTGCAGCAGCTGCCGGCTATAGTTGGGGAGCTCCATCGCATCAGCTCTGTCTGAGGACTTCCTTTCTTCTCTTCTTCCAGAATCACTTTGCGAGGATCAGCACTAGATCCTGGAGAAACCCCAAAAATGCCATGTTAATACTTCATAAGCACACAGGGAAATGCCCCGAATGAAATATGAAAATGAACAGGCAATTCACTGGTTCATTGAGCAAATGCTGCTGAATAGGAAGGGGTACTGTGCCAGGTATACTGAATTAATCATGATAATAACTGGCATGGGTTTAACTGCACGAACAGGACTATGCTTAGTGTGTCATCTGGAGGACCTCATTTGATCCTCACAAAAACTCACTGGAAAAGTACTGTATCCTCCCCATTTTATACATAAGACTGAAGCTCAGAGACTGAGAGAACCGGCTTAAAGAAAAACAGCCATTAAGTGGCATGCCCATGTCTCACTGATTTCAAAGCTGTAAGTAACTACATTGCTAAATGCATTCTGCTCTCAAGTTCTCAGCCAAATGAAGGAGACATTTTATTTATATATATATATATATATGTATATATATATATATATATATAAACAGATTTATAATAAAATGTCCTCATATTACTTGACCTATCTGCAGCATTGAATACAGGTCGTCATTCCCTCCCCTTTAAAATGCATTTTTCACTTGATTCTGCGCTCTCTGGTTCCTTTGCTGGGTTCTCTGCATCACTTTGGCCTCTAAAGTTTGCTGTGCTCCAGGACTGTCATCTCACTTCTCTCTCATCTGATTCCATACCTTTGAAATATCTAAATGTTGAGAGCTTTTAGATTTATATTTCCAGCTCAGCCCTTTCCTCTGAACTGCAGATGCACACTTCCAACTACCTATTGAACATCTCTAATTGGAGGCCTGTTAGGTTTCTTAAACTTAAATCCAAACTCCCCTGCCATCCTCCCCACTTCTGTCCCTTCTAGTTGTTCAGATCAAAAACCTAGAAATCATCCTTGACTCCAGTTTTTTCTCATATCCCTTACCCAATCCTTTATAAATCCTGTTGGCTCTACCTTCAAAATACATCCAAAATCCAATCACTTATTACTACCTCCACTGGTTCTACTCTGGTCAGCCCAAGCCGCCATCACCTTTTATTTGGATATTGCAACATGTCCTAACTGGTCCCCCATGCCTCCACCCCTTCCTAGCCCTACCCCTACCCTACTCTATCTTCAACCCAGGAGTCAGAGAGATCTTTTTAGCACATAGCCATATATGTCACTTTGCACAAAAGCCTCCATGGTTCCTGGTCTCAGAGTAAAAGCCAAAAGCCAAAATTCTTACTCTGGCTGTCATTAGCTCTAAAACCTCATCTTCTGCCTCGCTCCCCCTCACCCATTCTGCTGTAAGCACCACGCCTTCCTTGCTGATTGTGGAACACACTAAGCATATTCACCCGTAGGTTTCTTCACATGTGTGCATGGCTCACTCTCTCCCTCCCATCAGGACTCTGCTCAATGGCCACATGATCAACGAGGTCTTCCCTGACCATGTTCTTTATTTTATTTATTTTTTAATGATTTAGAACATTTAATCAAATCTGACCATGTTCTTTAAATAGCAATCTCCTCTCCAACCACAGAACATTCCATCCCTCTTACTCTGTTTTTTATCATAGCCTACTGACACATATTTTTACTTACTTATCATATACCCCCTTCACTAGAATATAAACTCCATTAGGGAAGGAACTTTTTTTTTTCATCATCTGCTGCATCCCAGTGCTTAAAATTCTGCCTAACACAAACACTGTTGGTTAGTTGGTGGAATGAATAAATGAATGGCAGGAAATGTAATGATAGAGATTTGTACTTAGAAGCCCAGTTTGGGGAACAGGGATATACAAGAGTTAGAGTAAGGTTTTTGTGGAGGAGCTAACAGCTAACCTGCCTTAATAAGTGAGCAGGCACTGATGAGGTGAAAAGAGTGGGAGAAAAAGGCACTCCAAGCAGGGAAGCCTGTGTGAGGCACACAAATAAGAAAACATCACATGGCAGGAAGGAGGTTTAGGACGGGGGATTATAAGGAGTTCAGTGATACTGAACATATAGAAAGGGACACGGAGTGTCAGGAGATGAATCTGGAGAGGCAGGCAGAGGTTCTGGCCACAGAAAGATACATGGGCCATGCTTAGGAGCTTGGATTTATCCTAAAGACAATGAGGAGTGAATGAAGGGTTTGAAGGGCTTTAAGCAGGAAAGTCACATGGTCTTTGACATTTGTCAAAATAACATTGGTTGCCTTTGTTACCTTTCCACTCCACCACTATTCCTTATTTTCCCACATTTGAAACTGACAAATAAAAATAAAAATAAAAATGAAAATATTTGCAAGTTCTGGTTTCCAGGTTTCTGGTCTGGCATGGAAGGAGCTTAAAAGTCACCATTCTAACTTGACAGGTAAAAAGGTAAACAGACAGAAAAATTAACAACTCTTCTTAGCTCTGTCAGAGAAGTGAGGTCACAGGGCAAAACTACTGCTCCCAAAATTGGAGAGACTGGCAGAGAATCACAACTTCTCAGAGCAGAAACCCACCAAGAGAAATACATGGGAAGCAGTGCCAGAATAGGAAAACTAAACCTAAGTTAATGAATTGATGGAGGCTCAGGGTGGACAAGTCTGAGAGTTAAAAACTCCAGAGGGACAGAGTCATAATTTAGTGAGTTTTAACTCCAGGAGCTCTACTGGGTACTCACAGTGAATACTGGGGGAAAATTCCCTTCTGCTTCTGGCAGGAGGAAGGAGAAAGTAACCATTTTAAAATATGATAGAGGATTCTGTTCTTCTCAACAAGGCCTAGAATCAGAAGAAACTATTTTACCAGAGTCTAACCTAATTGGAGGAAAGGAAATACCCAATGTCAGCCCACTCTAGCCATCCTGTACCACTTAAGGAGGTGGGGAGGGGGAGACTGAAAAGTATCAGTGAAGTTCACAGTCCAGGGGCACAGACTTACCAAAAGACTGAGACCTAATGACAGGTCTATAAAACACACTTCCTCCCTTCACATCTTACCACCCCATCACTATAGGCATACTTACCACAGTTCCTTTTACCCAGTACTTTATGTCTCCCTTTCAAGAAAAAACTACCAGGCATACTAAAAGGCAAAAAACACACTTCAAAGAGACTGAACAAGCATCAGAACCACAGTCAGATATGTCAGGAATTATCAGACAAGGAATTAAAAAAAAATGATTAATAAGGGATTTAAAGGAAAAAGTAGACAACATGCAAAAACAGATGGCAATGTAAGCAGAGAGATGGAAATTCTAAGAAAGAATGAAAAAGAAAAGCTAGAGGTTAAAAACACTGTAACAGAAATAAAGAATGCCTTTGATGAACTTACTAGTAGACTAGGTATGGTTGAGTAAAGAATCTCTGACCTTGAGGATATAACAATAAGAAACTTCCAAAACTGAAAAGCAAAGTGAAAAAGGTCTGAAAAAAACAGAACCAAATATCCAAGAACTGTGAGACAACCACAAAAGGTAAAACATATGTGCAATGGGAATATCTGAAGGAGAAGAGAAAAAGAAACAGAAGCAATATTTGAAGCAATAATGACTAAGAATTTCCCCAAATTAATGTTAGACACCAAACCACAGGTCTAAGAAGCTCAGAACCCCAAGCAGGATAAATGCTCTTAATAACTATACTTAAGTATATCATATTCAAACTATAGAAAAATCAAAGTTTAACAAATCTTGAAAAAAGCCAGAGGAAAAAGGACCTTTCCTTCAGAGAAGCAGATAGGAATTACATCTAATTTCTCCTCAGAAACCATGCAGGCAAGAGAAGAGTGGAGTGAAATACTTAAAATGTTGAGAGAAGAAAACAAACTACCAACCTAGAATTCTACCCTGAAATTTTTCCCTTTAACAGTGAATGTAAAATACTTTCTCAGACCAGCAAGGTTGAGGGACTTGCTTGCCAGTAGACCTGCCTTCCAAGTAATGTTAAAGAAGTTATTCAGAGAGAAGGAAATGATAAAGTACAGAAATATGGATCTATATAAACTAATGAATAGCACTGAAGAATGAATAGGTGAAGGTAAAACAAAAATTGACATAGATAGCAGTTTTATTTTTTATTCTTAACTGACATAGATAGCAGTTTGTTCAAAATAATGACAGCAACAATGTATTTGATTATGTATGCTTATGTTTATACAGGTAACCCTTGAACAACACAGGTTTGAGCTGTTAAGATCCACTTACATGTGGATTTTTTCAACACTAAATACCACAGTACCACGTAATCTGCAGTTGGTTGAATCCACAGATACAGAGGGCTCACTACAAAGTTATATGCAGATTTTTGCCTGTGCCAGAGGTCAGTGTCCCTAACCCCTGCATTGTTCAAGGGCCAATTCTATATGCTTATGTATAAATGAAATGAATGACAGCAATAATACAAGGAAGAGAAGGGAAGGATTAAGATTATGTTATTATTATTATAAGGTACTTATAATACATGTGAAGTGGTACAGTGTCATTTGAAAGTGGATTTAGATTAGTTGTAAATCCATTGCAAACTATAGGACACCACTAAAATAAGTTTTAAAAAGAAGTATAACTGATACGGTAAAAAGAAGTGAAAATGGAATCACGTCAAATGCTCAATTAAAACTACAAAAGAATGAAAAAGTATGTTAGACAAAAGTAGGAACAAAGAACAAGGGGAACATATAGACAACATTAACAAATATGGTAGATCAATGCTCTAAATATACTAATTAAAAGACAGATTGTCAGAGTGGATCAAAAAACAAGACCCACTCTGATGTTGTCTACAAGAAACCCACTTAAAGATGCATATAGATTAAAAATAAATGCATGGAGAATGATATACCATGTTAACAGTAATCAAAAGAAAGCAAGGGGAGCTATATTAATTTCAGACAGAGCAGACTTCAAGTAAGGAAAGATATTAGGGATAAAGGGGAGCTACTTAATGAAATAGGGGTCAATACTCTAACAAGACATAATAATCCTTATTGTGTAGGCAACTAACAA